CTACTTCTTGATGCCAGTTTTATTACACAATGACGTCATGACTACCGAAACTTATTATTGCCCCTGAGGCTTTCAATTTCACGTCGTGACACCCTACCCAAGCACGTGCACGTCCCTAGAGACGTACTGCATTTGGATCGTCGATGGAGACGAAGTAAACTTCCTCAGAGTTTTGCCTCAAAATTTGTAGCAAATGTAACTTAATTTGAAAAGTGCCACTGAAATACGACGGTCATTCAATTAGGTATCCATCTGAGGACGAAAGCGAGGATCGGAAAGCGTGTGTTATGACAAGTAGCAGAAAGTTTCGCGTATGCACCCACCCTCTGGCAAATCAGTTGCTTATCTTGTGTTCGTAGCGGAACTCAGCAAAACTTGAACGCGGATCAGTGATTAAATTCTCAAGAAATAAGATAAAATTCACAGAGAGACTTGATCTTTCACCAAACTCTTGAGAAGAGTTGGCAACGTAGATTCTATCACACTGAATTCCGGTTCAAGCATTTTATATGTGGAAACTAACCAAACCAATCGAGAATACGTTTATTGAATAACCTATATTTTCATTCAAATTAATGAAACAACTCAAGGAATCACACCAGTTTAAAAACGGAGAAATATTTTATAATTAATAATGGTACTGTTTTGCATTTATTAAATCACTGGTTCAAAACTTGGTTGTAAAACCGGATGACCTGTGTACTTCTGTTGTTTCATTCTGTTTATTTTAGCCAAACGAGCTGGAACAGTGTATTAAAAAAACCCTCTTCCTTCCACAGAATTCGTCTGTGAAGCGTCCTTAACCATTTTAAGCCCGAAGCCCATCTAAATATATTAAGAACTCAGTCTGTAGCACAGATACAACATAAACTGGTGAATTCTATTCAGAGAAATAATCAGTGTTTACATCTGAAACCCACAAATACACTGCAGGAAAACGCAGAGTTAGTTAAGATGACTCACCTCCGAAACATTAGCAAATTTCTACCGGACTACATCCCAGAAGACGGCCATCTTCGAATCCACCTGCCAACATAATGACCTTCGCAAACGCAGACAGATCTCACCCGTTGTTACTGCACTAAGACCGAACAGTCTCGCAGGTTCAACCAAATGTCTCCCGCTGTTCCTCACACAAGTAACCAAGTCTGCGTTAATTTGAGAGTCCATTATACAGTACGATGTTGTCCACATCAGCTGCTGTTAATGATTCTGTCGGACGAAGACAAATAACACTGCACAGTTACAGTGCGGGAATAGAGCAACTGAAAATCCATTTTTCAAGCTTCTGTATTGAACACGCTTTATATAAAGTGACAAGCTAATGTTTTAATATGTTTCAGATATGAATCAGGGAGTTTGCTGTTTCCATTTGGTGTAATTTATGAACGGCTGTCAAAGTAAGATTTAAACTTGTATATAGGTTATATCCAATATGATGCTGGCGAAAAACTTCTCTCTCTTGTAGACCCAATAGACATAAGTGTACAACACAGAGCGTAAATGTAGCATAGTCCATCCCTTTCAAACTGCAGTAATCATTAGTCACAGTAACTGTTTTCTAAAATAAGAATACATTATAATATCTGCGTTTCCATGTTTCTTGTGTTTCCTGTTCTCCTCTCATCGTCATTTTCTTTCTCTTGTCTTCCTCGATTATCCCATAATTTTATCCGTTTCCACCTTCTTCTCTTCCTGTCCTTTTCTCTCTCCGGCTTTTACATCAACATCTCCTTCCACGCTCTGTCTATTGTGTTCTCAGCAGCACAATAGTGCGTTTGGTCTGTACGACTATTCAATGACGCTGTAATAGGATCATAGCCTCGTCTGTGACGTCACGGAGTGGCATTTCTTCATCGGATAGTAGATGAATGGGTTGCAGGACCAACAAACACCGTCTTAACTAATTAAGTTTCTGTCAGTCTCCTAATTTGTGTTATTACTTACAAGTCCGTATGTCGTGTGTAGAAATTTCATCCTGTTGTAATGATATATTACATCAAGGTCATAGTTTGTTTACGGACTTTATTTGAGGTCAGGCTAAAATTTGTTTCAAACTTTGGGTTCGTACGTATAAATATTTCGTTGAAGTCTCCGAATTATACGCTTGTAATTCTACGGCAAAACATTTATTGTCATTTTGGCACCTTTACAGTCATTTAACTGGTCAAAAATATCACTGCGTTTAGTTTCAAATTTGAAACTTAAATACAGTGTTCCCTATTATCAGCCTCTCGTCGCGAGTACACAAAGTCAGTTTTAATATTATTTCCCCATTTAATCCTAGTTATCCCAAACTGCCTCAAACCTTCCGGTTTTCCAACTAAAATTTTGTGTGTGTTTCTTACGTCTGCATGTTTCCTAAATGTCTTCACCTCATCGCCTTTGATTTGGCCGCCCTAATACTAAATTACATCCCTTATTGTTCAGTTGTCTCCAACCTCAGCCCTCTTGGGTCCAAATATTTTCCTCGGCAAAATATTTTTTTTAATTATTTTTAAGAATGAGAAATACCTAGTTTCACACTCATGTCATCCATCTGCATAAGGAGATTCTGGTTGGTAGTGCGGTAACATATTAGGTTGTTGATCATTTGCTGTTAAGTAATTTTGGGCCTTGTAGAATAATATTTATGAAATGTGCGTGTTGTTACATCCATTGTCATGGTAAACTTTTGAAGGATTTTCGGCCTTGTGGCTTTGTGTCCACTGCTTTAGATTCTAACGTCTTTCCCCACGCGTGATACACATTAATTCTCTCAAAAGTATTCTTCAGTTACGGAACCTATTTAAAGTCTTCTCAGCGTTAAACACATTGACGTAGCTTCTTGCTTATGTATTAAACGCCTGGAATTGCCAAAGAATGACGCAAAACCGTCGAAACACGTCATTGTGGCACTGTTATTCGCAAATAGATGAACAAAACTGTCTTGACAGCGGGCGCTAGTCGTTAGTCTGTACGCTCATACAATCAAAACACGAAGCGCCTTCCTGCCTTAAAACCTTCACGTAACAATAACTTTCGTCCTCTAAATATAGTCTGGCCATTCTTCAAGATAAATAAAAACAAAATAAAACGTGTCTCATTCAGAAAATCCTTTTGTTTCCTTGCCTTCTGTTGATATTTGAATTGCCACAGCTGTACAGGAAAAAAAACTGCATTTATGTATATATACAACACACAGATAAGTATTTTCAAATCTAGGCCATGCTCCAAAACGTGGCAGTCTTTGAAGAACGAATCCAGAACTTATTTATTCAGTTCTTTCAGCTTTTTCATCGGGAATTGAAACTGGGATAAAGATAATATGTAAATCCACACCGTTCTAAGCTGCCATATTTCTTGACGCTTCATCTCATCGGCAAGAAACATCACCGCGACTCAACCGATAAGACATGTCCATTTATTATTCTACGGAACACCCACAGAAGTTAGGCGAACTGTAAACCTTGAACGACAGCATATAAAATCAGGTTCATGTTGAACTCTGAAGACAAATACATTCCAGAAACTCTTGTTATTATCCAGTATAAAACTATTTTCTTCCCGTATATTTTATAAGCCAGTAAAAAATCAATTTTTATTTACGAGAGCACATGTAAGCCTAGTCGCTTATCGACCAAACGATACTCGTTACATCAACAGACAATTTGTTACTTCTATACACAACGCAAGGAAATTACAATTACATAGAGCAAATTCTTGTACACCTGAATCTTATCATACGCGCTTTCAATATCCACGGTTTTACAGTGCGACATTAAGTCACAGAACGTCTGCAAACTCTGGCCAAACCACTTAAGATCAAGCATTTTAGGAATCTCTTAAAATCATTTATAATATAAAATATTTAAAGCGGAATTAATCCTTTAAGTCGTCACTCATTTTTTTAAGTTCCCAGTCTTAAGGCAAAACTTCCTAACGTAACACAACTAATCATCGTATTATGAATCTATGGGCGTTCCCCATGTTATGTGATGCAGTAAACAACGTGTGGGTAAGTCATGCGCAGGAACCAACTCCCTGGTAGCAGAACGCAGATGCAACACAGACAACACGTAGAAACACTGGGATACTGTAAATGTGTACGTTTTCGAACACAAGCATTCTAGAACTCATCCGACAGAATTGTACTATTTCGTAAATCCTGGTTCTATCTTTGTCTTTTGCTGACTCAGAGGCCCGGATATCGTTGCTTGTAAACAGTCATAAATTGAGATTCCGGTGGCTGTAGAACACGGCTTTGTTGTATTACTGCTCTACAGTGTTTTTGAAGTGGACAACATAGGCACGTAATCCTAAAAAATTAAAGAGGTGGGGCGCAAATTCAGGTTTAAAAAATGGATGTGAATCATGATATGAGGTTGTTCATCTAAAATTTATATGTTGGAATTGTAACAAGCTGCAATTTATTTTTACACCGTACATAACACATATTAATAGCAATTTTTAAAATCTGTCAAAAACTGCTTTCAAATATTATTTTGTTATTGAAATGAAATAGTCCGTTTCAAATATTGCAGCAAATAGGTTCGTCTTTTGTCAGACTTTTAATAATGCATATTGTTTTATACATTTCTATAGAGGCGTACTCTATATAGGCCTAAATATTTGGAAAAGAATGTGCGGTTATACTCCATCCCCTTCCCCACTCACTTCTTGCCATAACGCTACGCTGTTTGACATCTCTTTCTCTAGAAGTTCCAAAACTCAAAATAATATTGGTCACCACCCTGAACCGCCCCTTCTCGACTACAGCCCTGCTACTATCAGTATCAACGCATTGTGGCAAATGACTTTTCCCGTTTTATCTTAATTCTTCGCTGATCTGTTAACAGACCTGAGTAGCAATTTCGTATGATTCAGATTCACGTATTTAAATAGGATTTGATATCTGCTCCTTAAAATTAAATCTCGTTACAAAAGAAGCTCTCATAATTGTTTAAAAAAGTCAATCTAAATTGCAGCTTGAAACAACTGAAAGCATTTGAAATACTCACGTTGAGTAACACGAGATGAAACTAGATCGACAGTACTGCAGTTGCGAACACACAACATTTTGAAGCACTTAAAACTGAACGTTTCTCTGTCAGGTACACTTCACTTAATGTTAAAACACATATTTGCACTAATACTGCGATTATTTACACTCGTTAGACAATTATCAACCATCGTGGACATGCAAAGACTTTTATAGAACTTCCAGAAACATGGCCGCACAATTTCACATGCCTTCGTTACAGGTAAACGCAACTTTCTGCCAGTCAAAACGAAACGTGACGCCTGTGAACTACAGAAAAGATGGCACGTCAGTCTAGTAAGTATGGCCAACTGGCCAACGAATAATGTTCCAACAGTCAGCACGGATACAAACTTGTAGACTTAGTGGCATCTTTTCCTTTCGTATTAGTTCTTAACTGATTAGTCTATTGCTTATTCAGATTCATTTGCAATGCAGCATAGAAAAATAGAATGAATCATGACTCGAACAGTAAACAGTATGAAGAGATCATGGCCGACTTTAAGGTTTTCTTACCACACTTAACTCCATGGAATGTGGAAAAAGTAAAACTTTGTTTATACTCAATAGACTGTCTCCGGTCTCATATTCGAACCCCAGACCTCCCGAACACTTTACGATTTTGAGTTATTGATGTGCTGAGACCTGGTCTGAAGATCAATAGTTCCTTTCCTGTGCGGGCTGACACAACAGAACAACTATTTGTTCTTGAAAAACAATAACATCAATATGAGATTTGAGGTTTTCATGGTGGCAATGATGTCGATGTTAGTTTTCTCCGTTGTAAGCCCTGTGGACTTGTAGGTTATATACCAACTTTTGATAAATATAAGTTTCCTACCTCTATCTTCGCTCATGCAGGCGTAGAAATTGTTCTTCCGAAAAGTTGGTACAAGTCCGCGTGGCTTTATATCTCAGAAGACCAACATCGACAAGCAACCCTACGTCACAGCCAGACAGTGAGTACTGCTCTGACGTGGAACGAGAAATGTTAAGTGGGGAGAGTTACCTCCAGCCTTACCTGCTATATGCAACAGTTTCGTACGCTGTAAGTTGGCGAATGAGCGTTGGTAGCTTTTGTCTCCTTCGTCACAGCAACTCGCGATACGTCAGGCCAAATGCATTTCATATTCTGGTAGACAGGCTAGTTAAAGTTAGTTTTAGGAAGTGAAATACAGAATTAATATAGTACTAGTCCTTAGATAACTTAGTTTTTAGATGTGATAAGCTAATTGAAGGGATACATGCAAATTTTATACAGCACAGTACAGTTAAATACACGTCAATAATTCAACAATTCAAGAAAATTACCGATAAATTTTAGCCCACCAACGAATCACTCTGGGAGATTATGTCGTATACTCATATAACAAGGAACAAACGTAGGTTACTCTGTAAATAACATCCCTATGTTCGTCGATCGGTTTTAACTATTTACATCTACTGTAATAACTGCGTGTACAAAATGATTCCACCCTTAACAGTCGATTTAGTCAACACCGTACATAACTTACAGTGCATGGAAATAAATGTTGCATTAGTGGGCCTGAAGATGGTGTTTTAAATTACCGAAACATGTTGCCTTAATAAGATAATTTATTTTATTTGTAATTACGTAGTAAATACAAATAGCTGTCGTTTACTACACAACGAAATTCTTCAGTAAAAAAGACTATCTGTTAGGTTCCACATTATACAATACAATGTATGAATAAATGTTTCTTTGGGATTTTTCCTTTTATCAACTCAAAAGAGGCTAACTTGATGATTCTTCATCTGATCACACAGGTAAAACTTTTACAGGCGACACTGACCCCTAGTTAGTTTCTGGTGAAGCGTAATTATTTGAATATGAAATATTTGACAGCCCTGATTATTGGGACTGAGACAGTCTCCGAAAAGCTATTCTGATGCGACTGATCGCCCAAAAATAATTCATTTTATTAGTTGAGCAATTCTTGTGTTTAACGCACCGTTGGACCTTTATGCGCAAGTCTTGAATTTGTGTAATGGAGTGTTGGGTTCATAACGGGAGTTTTGGCCCATAAAATGATACATCTCTTTCATGGTATTTTTATGGATCAGAAAGCGAGGTTAGACCTTCTACAGGATAAGAAG